CCCAGTGCAGTGCATTGCCTTTTCTCCTGACTGCTGCCACCAAGGGTGTTAATTATGGATCCAAGCAAGATGAAGCTATTTACAGCTTCATTTCTCTTCTCCATCCATCTTGCTGTTACCTGTCAGTCCAGTGATAGGAATATTGGTTTTCTTGATATTGAGATGCAATCCATACTGAAGGCTGCATTCCTTGATCTTTTGCAATAAGTGCTTCAAGTTGCTTTCCATAGTGAACCATTTTATATTCCCACAATTTCCTCACACCCTTGCCACCATTTGTTGTTTGCTGTCTTGTTGAATTTGGCTGTTGTTGTTGGAGTAACACTGCTGTGTTGGTTTGTATCTCTTTGGAAAGGTCGAGGGTCAGTGAAAGACAGACCCTCAAGGAGATGGAGTGACATAGTGGGTGCAGGAATGGAATCAGTTATATCAGAGATGATAAAGATGGTATAGGACAGAACATGAGGTCTATTGTTCATAGGATAACTTTGAGTTGCACTTGCTGACACTTAAGTCTCTGACCTTAAGCATTTATTACTGTTTTTTCAGTTAAGAATAGATTTTATGTTCACATAGATTTTTTAAAAAATACTGGTTAATTTACAAAATTAAAATACACTGATTTCAAGAACAGATTCTTCCAATTTCCCTTACTAATCCCCCATCAAATTGTATAGCCTTTATTTCTTCATGTGTTGGTCATCTAAATGTTCACTTTGGTGAGGTGTATAAATAGGGCGTTTGTCTTTTTTTTTCTCTGAGATATTGGAGTATAAATTTTAGAGATTAATTCCTTGCCAAATGTATCATTGCCAACTTTTTTCCCCAGCCTATAATGCAGCTTTTAATTCACTGACGTCAAGTTGGAAATTACACGTACTGACACTCTAGTGGGTTTTCAGAGACTGTAAATGTCAGAGATTGTCCATCTTTCTCCTGCGAAATCTAGTCGATTTGAACCACCTCTGTTTAAGTTGGCAACACAACTTGTTACCCACTGTATGTTCTCTTTTTACTTTTGGATAAATCTTACTTTAAAAAAATGGATATATCTTTAGAAGGACGTAATGGTTTAATTTTTAAGAGGTCTTAGTTGTCTGGTTTATCTTCTGCCGTGTATGAATTTTCAGTTATATTTGATAGTCTGTGCGTTAGATTAGGGCTCCTTTGTTTCCTCAAGTTTTAATTTGATAATCTTCTTAGTTTTAGGTTTCATGTCGAAGTCCTTGATTCATCCTGAGTTAGTTTTTGCATATGGTGTGAGACAGGGGTCTTATTTGCATTTCCTGCAGGTAAATATGTAGTTTTCCCTACACAATTTATTAAAGAGGCTGTTTTCCCCTCGTTTTAATGTTTCATGTCTTCATTAAAGATTAGTTATCCATAGATGGATGGGTTTATTTCTTAGTTCTCAATTCTGTTTCATTGGTTTTAGTAACAGACACTGTATTTCAGTGACTTCTTTTTTTTTTTTTAGAGGTAAATCACCAGGCTTTTCTTCTGAAGTTTCTCCAACTTGATTCAGACGTTAAACATTTTGGCTAACAGCTAAGCTTATGAAACCATTTATACCACCCAGGAATCCCATTCTATACTGCCTACAATATTTCCCTTGTGATTTGAGTAGGAAGGAAATGTGGCATTGAATGTGTGAAAACAAAGGACATTATAGAGGTGGTCTATTGAATATGTATTTTTGACTCTACCGCAGGTTCAACCTTATTATTTAAAGGGTATCGTTTCATGCACTCAAATCTGAAAAAACTAGTTTGACATAGGATTGTGTTGTTGTTGTTGTTGTTGTGTACCATCAAGTCAGAACCAACCCACAGCTGACCCTCCAGCAAGTTTTCTGAAGAAGTTAATCACAGGGGAGGAGACTATCTGTCCTTCTCCCATGGAACAGCTGGTGGCCTCCAGCTGCATGCCTATAGGATTGGAGTGTAGCTTCTTGCCACTTGGCTACCAGAGTTCCCTTAAATACCCTTTATTAAGTCTTACTAGTTAAAATAAAAAGGGTTTATTTCAGGATGTAAATATGGTGACTTTTTTAATATGCTGGATCAGGGATGTGTTTTTAGCTTTTCAAATTTTAACTATATAAATATATTCATATGGCTCAAAAATTATATAATTCTTAACATAGTTAAAATTTCTTGTACCTCTCTCCAAACTAATGTCTCTAAGCTGCACATATGCACGCACACACATGCAATCTATAGTTTTACTCCGTCAATCCATGCATATCCAGGCCAGATAGATCCTGCAACTGGTCTTTTTTTCACTTAACAAGAAATAGAACTTATCTCAAGCATTTTCTTTAATTCACCCATGTCTTTTATTGGGTGTCAGATTCTGCAGTTTTAATGTATTTAATGTTATTTAATGTTATTCTGCTTACATCTTGAAGACAGAAGATGAAGTTTTTTTCTAGTATGATTTATGCCTGAAAAGAATCATAAGGGACTTTATGGAGAACATTTTATAAATGGATATTAGGAGTATAGAGTGAAATAGGCAGAAGAGCTAGAATAACAATAAAGATCATTCCAGGATCTTGTGAAATTAATTCCAAATGCTTATTGCTGTAACTTTTGTGCAAGAAGCTTACTGATACAGGCCCTGCTTTAAAGAGAAATCAAGCTTACAGATAACAGCTGATTTATTAAGTGCATGCTACTGGGGTTTCCCCCCCCACACCCCTTCTTAATATAAATGCTTTATTCTTTTTCATCCTTAAGTTCTGTTTTAGCCTTTGGAACTTTTATAATTACTTCTTGGAAAAGAATTCTAACAGGAAGAGTTGCTTGCTTTTTTTTTTTAAAAAAAAAAAAGGAGCAAGAAAACCAACAATTTGTGGATGCAAGGGTCATGTATTTTGACCATGATTTAGAGGCTACTGACCAGCTGTCGGCCACTATTCTATGAAAATACAGGTTACAGACTTTATGACTACAAATGAGCCTTTTATGGGGTGATAAACAGTTCTTTTGTACCCATCATTCTTCCCCCTTTTTTTTTAAAAAAAAAAGAGCAATAGTGTAATTTGACTGTGGACTTCAACCCACACTTAGTTGGTGTTCTTAATTTGGTAACTTTTTAGCTGTTAAATAAACTGCTTCATGGTGGCCATTTAATATAGGAAAACCTGTTTAGAGTCAAAATTGAAAGGTAAAGATTTTCCATTTTCCTTTTATATCTTTTTTAGAAACTGCTATTTATAATGCAACCTGTTTTAATCCAACTATTTTTCTCACCTTTAAATTCTACTTTCTTTTCTCAATTTAAAAAAAAGTAATATTCAGTAATTTCTAATGTCAGACACATTTTCTACTGTGTTCTATTTGTCTTTATAGGAGTTCTAGATTTTAAAGCATTTTCTGTTTCATTAAAGTGCTAAATACAGTGCTGGCACTCAAAGACTTGGGAAATGGGACATTTTTATGCCATGGAGTTCTCATCGAGTTTCATATGCTGTTTATTACTATCAATTATGTCTGTTATAAATTATAATGTATTGAAAATCTTTTCAGTTAAACAATGTTCCAGCCTTCTGCCTTTTCTTCTTCTTGAAAGAGTAGTTCAAAGTCCTTCCTATCAGGATAGGTACCACTATATACGTGTGTGTGTGTGTGTGTGTGTGTGTACACACACTATAGAACCGAGTGCAGCTGCCTCGTAGTGTTTCCAAGGTTACAGTTCTCTAGTGAGCCTACTACTTCTTCCCTTCTGTAGAGAAGCAGGTGTGCTTGAACTTTCAGTCTTTTGCTTAGCGGACTGACACTCAATAAACTACTAGGGTTGCTAGGACATAGTCTTTAGAAGAAATATGTTCATAGGATGTATTTCTTTTCACCTCTAAATACCAGTGATCCCTGGCTTTGATAAAGAATCTGTCCTAGAATATCATTCACTCACGAGTTGTTGAGTTGGAAGCTACTCATAGTTGATCCTCTTTGGGTTTTCCTAGCTGAAGTCACATGGAAGGAGTTTGCCCTTCTTTATTCCTAGGAGCTTCTAGTAGATCCAACCCACTAGAAGGGGAAAAGAACAGACTTTGGAGGCAGACAGCTCTGGGTTTTCAGAACCAACTTGGCCACTTCTAGATGTGTAGTATAATCTGTGTTAGTCTGTTTTGTCTGACATACTTTGGACATGTTGCAAGGAGGGACCAGTCCTTGGAGAGGGACGTTATGCTTGGGAGGGTGGAGGGACAGCTCAGGAGAGGAAGACCCTTTGTGAGATGGATCTATTTAGTGACTGGTGTAATGGGGGAGGTGTGTCATATATGGTGAGATTGGTACAGGATAGAAAAGAGTTTAAGACCGTGGTATTTAGGGTCGCTATGAGTCACAGGTGATTTTATGGCACATAACAGCAACAACTTCATTTGTAAAACAGAGATACTACTATTAACATTACAATACTCATGACATTATTGTGAAGATTAAATGAAGATGTGTGAGAAAACTACTTCCCCAAGTCAAATTACTGTCCGACAGTAGACACCACTGTTGACTGTGTACTAGGAAATAGACCATGCATTTTAAAGTATTTTCAAAATTACGTTTCTTAGCTTATTTATTTTCCTGAATTAGAAGAAGTGGGTTATTTTCTTTTTTTTTTTGGGGGGGGGGTAGGCCCTTTGAAGGGCATATCAGATTTTAATCCCAGCAGCAAAGCAATTAGGAATGAAGGTGTTTCCTTTTATAATATTTATTCCTTTGTTTTAATCGTTTGGACAGTTGCAAGGACAGGTCTCCTCTTGCTGACTGCAGTGGAACGGCTAGTTCTCCCTTACGTTACTAATGTGGTGCACTCTTAGAAGAGGGTGGGAAGGACTTAGAAAAAAAGGTGGCACTGGGGAACAGATGGTCTAGAAGGCATTTCTCGGATCCTTACAATGTCAGTGGGGTTAAATGGTGCGTTTGTGAAAGTTGTATTTGCAAATTTCTTTGCTAGATGGTTTCCCTTGAATTTCTTTTCATTTCTTTTTTAAGGATGCCGAATAGAAAACTGTGATTCTTGCTTTAGCAAAGACTTCTGTACCAAGTGCAAAGGAGGCTTTTATTTGCACAGAGGCCGCTGCTTTGAAGAATGTCCAGATGGTTTTGCACCATTAAAGGAAACCATGGAATGTGTGGGTGAGTGGTTTTTCATGCAAGTCTTCAACTGGAACTTTTACTTTAACACTTAGTCCTTTAAAAATGTAGGCTGGATATATTTGGCAAAATCCCCCATTTGTTTTCTCTTTGCTAATTATACCTAAAAATGATTTTTTATGCAGACATTCTGAATTCTTTAGGCATCATGATCAATAGTGTTGTATATTGCATCACAGTCTCCAATTTGTCGAGTTAAACTACTTATATATTGGTAATAACATTTTTATGATCTATACGATCTCTCCATTTCATAGTATCTTAATAAATTGGTAGTAACTGTTGGAGAAAAATTACAGGGAGGGGGGTTTGTTTTGTTTTGTTTTTGCTTTTTTTCTTTGTTGTGTACTGTCAAATCTGATCCCACAAGGACAGGAGGAGCCCCTCCTCCTCCAGGGAAGCATCTGGTAGATTCGAACCTTGTGCCTTTGGGATTGCCGTGCAACTTCTTGCCAGTTAGGCCACCAGAGCTCCCAACTTGTTTTTTGGTGGCCTAGTGGCAAGGAGCTGTGCTGCAATACTGAAAGCAGTTGGTTCGAGACCACCAGCTGCTCCACAGGAGAAGGATGAGCAATCTCCTTCTGTGAAATTACTGCCTCTGAAACCCACTGGAGGGTCGGCTGTGGGTCAGTTCCAACTCAATGGTGCACAACAACAACAACAACCGTATCTGTTAGCCATTGGATTGTTTTTGTATGTGTATTGATAGTCTTCTTAACCACATTTCTCAAAAAATAATTTGAAGATTTTTTTGTGTCTACCAAATATGTTTTATTGAAGACTGTCTATTGAAAAGAACATTAGAACAATTGTACTTAGTCACTAAATTTAGAGACTTTGTGTACATACTCTGACTTACACATAGGATGTGTACCATCTGTGAATAATAATTGGGACCACTTTATACATTTTGTGTCTTTGAGTGTTTCCAAAATACTTTAGCCTTTTTTGTATAATGGATTAAAAGATAAAGATCCGTCAGTGGCTGCATGGTGATGAATGCCCGTGTCTAATCATCGGTGTAATGGATTCAGATATCTTCTCACTCCTGAATGTTACCTGACGTGCTATGCAGCTGACGCCATGTACCACAGAGCTAAAAACGAGACTTTTCTTCTCTCTAGAAGAAAGTCCTAAATGAAAAGCAACTATATTCTGCAGAAGTATTGCTGACAAAGTTTGTAAATATTCCCTGGAAAACTTGCAGAGAAGACATTTATGTGCGGGAGATTGGGAGAGGTGTGCTTTGTGCTTCTGTTTGTGGGAAAATGAACATGTACATGCGGGAACATTGTCTTGGAAGCGGGAAAGTCACTGGAAGGGTGTAATTTAAAGCTGGATTGCTTTCGTGAGGCAGGGCTCCTACATTGAAGTCTACAGATACTCAATGGAGATTTTTAAGACAACGAATGAAAAAGTAAGTGGTCTGTGTTACCCTGAAGAAAATTCCTAAAATAGCTTTGAAAATCTAAGAGTGGCCAGATGCCAGAGGAGATTAAGAATGCTGAAATACCTTGTGTGGCTTGTGGGCCCTATGTCCTCATTAAATTATATGATAGGCGCTTTTTTGAGGATTTTTTTATTTGAAGACCATTGACTTGATGAGAATACCTTTGTATTTTTTTGCACTGCCCCTTTTGCACATACTGTATTGGGCAAAGCTGCTGCAAAAGACCTTTTTAAAATGTTACGGAATAATTTCCAAGTTTACTTTTTAAACTCTAGTAAGATATAACGCCAACATAGAAAATGTTATTGATTGCCTTTGAGTTGAGCACGACTCATAGCAACCCTGTGAACAAAAGGCCTGAAGACCCTCCACAACTATCGACATTTATCAAAGTTCATAGAGTTTCTGGAGGCATGTTGTTTAGGAAGTGAATGCTACTAAATACAGTAGTTTCCAAATGCCCGTTGGAAGAATTTGGAGAATCAGAAAATGCAAACCAATCTCTCATCCTCGACTCAACAGCTTTTAAAAGAAAACAAACATGTCGTGGATTTGGTGGGAAGTGCATTCAAAATTGACTTGTAAAAAAATTTGTCTTCTGTTATGGTGTGTAAATAGTGTCTTTTATTTTAAATTTAGCTGTGAGATCTTTTAAAGATTACAAACTTCAGTGTCATTGGAATGAAACAGTATTTTTCCCTAAAAAAAAAACAAAAACAAAAACAATACAACCCCAAAAAAATGAACTCTGACAAATTGAAAGTCACAGCTGTGTAATTACTTTAATGGCATTTGTTTCTTGTTTGAGATAATTTATTCTTCCCCAAAGACAAGTATAGGTCTTTGTGGGCTGTTAAATTTAATTTTTGGTATCTGAAGGAAGAGAGGGAGTGGAGGATTTAATGGAGGAATTTTGTGACAGTGGAGCACATGGATACCAAATTGCTATTTTGTTTTCTTTTTGTTAGAAGGATGTGAAGTTGCCCATTGGAGCGAATGGGGAAACTGTATCAGAAGAAATCGCACGTGTGGATTTAAGTGGGGTCTGGAAACCAGAACACGGCAAATTGTTAAAAAGCCAGCAAAGGATACGATACCATGCCCAACCATTGCTGAGTCCAGGAGATGTGTGGCGCTCTTGAGACACTGTCCTGGAGGTAAGTGTGGATAATTAGAGCTTTGTGCTGTGTGTTGTCTAAGTTCACCCTACTCTAGCCACCTTTTATCCCAAGTGGGATTCTTTATCCATGAAGGAAACCTGATAATAGCCATTGGGAATGAGTAAAAACTCTACACTGTGCTTATTTAGAGACAAATATTTTACAAATACTTGTAAAGAATATAACGTAAACTTAATTTCATGAGATCTAAAAGATCATTTGGAAGAGTAGATTCCAAATGAGATTTTCAAAAGGCAACCAAGTTTGCATCAACTTGTGCGTGTGTATTTGGTCCATGTACCATGAAACCAGGCTCACATGAAACCAGGCCTTTGAAGCTATTCTGAGAGAAGAGAGACAGCCAGCTTTCCCTTGAAAAGGGTTTCAAATGGAGAAGTTTATGGGATCTTTAGAATCATCTGCATCATGACTAGTTGAAGATGACAACTTAAACTTTCCCAAACAGTGGGAGGAATAAGTGATGTTTTAATGTTACCACAATTGACTATTCCTTTTTGTTTTGATAGTAGTTTGTAGAAAACAGCTACTGGTATTTGTGTGTTTATGTGTATTTTTGTAGTAATTGTGCTGATTTGTAGTAATTATTCTTTAATAACAAGATTAGGCCTATTTAGGAATTGGAAGCAGCGTGTACATAACTCTGGTACTGGAAGCCAAATCAATACTATGAGTTGCAGTTTTCAGTGTTAACACAGTGATTGTTAAAGCATCAGTTGTGTCACTCGATTTTATCACTGGCAGATACTACCATATATTACGAGGGATGAAATTGGTATTTTCTAGTGCACAAAGCAAGAAAGCAACAAAGTTGTCTTTGGAAAATTGCCTTGTGAAAGAATCAAAGCTTTTATTTCCTTCATTCTTTCTCTTGGTACATTATTTTTCAATATTATGACTATAGTCTGGAAAGAGAACTCACATATTTTGAAACCGTTTTCACATACATATTATCCTGCTTCATAGAGAATATCTATGACCCATGGAGAAAGATAAAACTTGAAGACTCCAAAGAGCCTTTGAGAACTATTAGCTCCAGGTTCAGAAGCTACTATTGGGGAAAACAGCTTTTCCTCTCGAATTAGTTTTGCTTTTTCTTTGCTTGGTTTTTTGAAACAACATTTTCTTGGGTCTGCTTTTCACTAACAAGGATGGTTTTGTTCCCTTAAACTGGGTATTTTTCAGTCAAAATATAAGAAAATATTTTCTTACAAAACTAATAAGCCACTTCTTGGATAGCTGAGAGCGTTTAACCTGCAACCTTGTGCCTAAAAACAAACCTGATGTATTCAGGTACGGCAAAGAAAGGCTTTCTTTGTTGTATATTGTTTATATAACTACCCCCTGATTCCTCTTCCAGCAACATGGTCCCCCCAATTGTGGTTTACGTTAATAGCAAAAATTAACCTGAAAATGCTCCTATAACAATCATGCTTATGTGTAACATGAACCAGGACTTTTCCGTCCCCTCCACAATCCTGTGTTTTGACCTAGCCCAGCCTTGCTTGAAACTTGTGTAGATAACAGCTAAATTGTTAAACTATAATGTTTATTGCATCCGTATTTTTTAGGCTACTAACAACAGTTTACTGTCTCTAATGGAATATAGCCTGACACTGTCAGTAATTCAAATTGTGCTCAAATGCCTCTATATGGTTTACTAATATTCTGGGTTTGTAACACATGAACCAGTAGTACATTTTTATTTCATTCATGTTTAGGTTTTTTACCAAGTTTGTTTATTGGAAAGAACAACACTCACTGTGCTAGTCATTTTTAGTGTGATAAATTCAATTTCTTAAAAGAAACTTCTGGGTTCAGGAGGTTTTACAAGTTATATTGAGATTTGGATTTGTTTTATTAGAAAGAGAATGAAAATTTAATTGATTATTGCTGGAAGTGGCAGATTACTCTGCCATAAAATACTTTTTACTAACAAATGTAGGGGATGAAAAGTAGAAAATTAATCTTGGAACTGGAGCCCCATTTGATAGAAATTGGCATCATTTCCAGTGGTATATCCCACCTTGCCTCAGGTATGACTGAGAAAAGTGCTTTTCTTTAGTGCGTCACGGCAATTAATGGGAGGATGGAAGAATCGAGAGGAAACATGACTTTATCCCATTTTACATCTTGATTTGATTTTAGTGATCTGCTTTGACAAACCATGCAAGAATGGAAGTCGTAATCAGCTGGGGAACACAGGCATTTTTTTCAGATCTTTTCAGCATATGTGTAGAGGTTTTTCTCCTACTGGAGCTGATCTTAACCTGATCGCCCACGAATGCAGCCTTAACTCCTTTACACTGAAGTGCTGCTACATTAAAATCAGCTGCTTTTGATTGCTTAAAGGTATAAGCCAGAGGTCAGTGTAGTGAAACAGTCACTAAGTGTAGAAGAGATCACATTGAAAACTATTAAACATGAGAAAAGAAATGGCCCTGAGATATATTTTCAAAATGGTACTTTGCCCTAGCCTTTTTTTTTTTGGTAAGTGGCATGTGTTTATTTGCTTTGAAAAAAAGGAAAAGATATGAGAACATCTTAGGTAGTAGATTGATGAACTTTTAAAATGACTCAGTATTCATATCCAATCTGTTCTTTGCTTTTTTATTGATCTACACCCCCCCCCAACATTTTCCGTGAACCCGTTGGGTGTCTTGTACCCCCCAGCACTCATTCTTGGCAGACTTCGTGTAGCAGTGTGGGTCTCTGCACCCTTGTTGATGTTGTGTGCTGTCGAGTTGCTTGCGACTCGTAGCGACCCTGTGTACAAGAGCCCTAAACCCTGCTCTATCCTGTGACAACCTCACTATCTCTGATACCTACCCCATTACCCCAGTGACTGAATCAATCTATCTCATCAAGGGTCTTCCTCTTCTGCACTGGCCCTACAGCCTCCCAAGCATGATGTCCCTCTCCAAGGACTGGTTTCTCCTTGCAACTTGCACCCTATCAGCTTATTTATTCCATGATTCTTGGCGAGTCACTTAACCTCTCTTGGCCTCTATATCCTCATTTGTAAATCGAGAGAATTGGGATAGGCAATTTCTGTAAATCTGATGCTTCCAGGATTTTCCAAAGTAGGTAGACACGATCTGTGGCCGTCACATGCAGGGGTAGGAAGACACTTGGAAGTTCAAAAGCACATTTTTTTAAGTTAATTTTAATGAAAGTTTACAGAGACTTAGGGTTTTCAGTCATTCATTGTTGCACTTTTCTCCCTGCCCACCCCTGCTCCCCATTCACTCTTCTCCTTGAAAAGAAAAACTCCTTCATTGTTATGCAATACCTCCCCCAAGTCCACTCCACTATGCAGCCTTCACTCTGGACTTCGGTAATGACAAGAATACCCATTTGAATGGATAGAGAAGCTCTGGTATATTCACACAATGGAATACTATGCAGCATTGAAAAACGAGGAACTCATTAAATAGTATGCAAAATGATGACCCTGGAGGACATTATGCTGAGTGAAATATCTCAGTCACAAAAGGACAAATACTGAATAGGGCCACTGTTCTAAAACGGGACTGACATCAGGGTTGAGGGAAGACAGAAAAGGGCGGAGGAATGGTGTGTATTGCATTGAAACAGATGAGGCAAAAGCACATTTTTGAAACAAAGGAACCAAACTCTTTGTCTGTTGTGTCACCGTGCACTTGCTGAGCCTTCTGCCGCTGCTGGTGGCTGGCTACCTTCCTACTTTCAGAACGAAACTGTGCTTTCAACCTTCAAAAACCAAGTGAAACTGTATTATTCCGCACGTGACCTTTGGTTTAGCTACCAAGGTTGGAAAGTGAAAAATGGAAAAGGTGGATATAAATAGGAAGAACGAAAGACAGTAGGAAAAAGAGAACAAAGGTCAGTGGATCAGAGAAACAAATAAACAAAAATAACAAACAGCGTAGAAACAAGGAAAACCTGGAACTGATTATTTGAAAATGAAGACCGGATTCGCTGCAGAAGTTAACATTTGTCACTCTCTGCCCTGATACACAAACCAATAGTTTTTCACGTTAGGACTAATTTATTTTGTATAACCTGAAACTTATACCGAGACCAAGAGGCTGTTGTCTGAACAAAGCAAAGGGACACTTGACCGTGTGGTTTAAAATATTAATAATAATAACATAAAATAAATGTATTAGGACAATATCCTTTCTCTGTACCTATTCAGTGTGTATATTGAGCAATTAATTTGAGAACCTGAACTTTATAAACATGAATTGGCATTAGGATCAGAGAAGGACATCAGAAACTTGCATTATGCAGAGGCTTGCTGAAAGTGAGGCAAACTTAAAACACTCGCTGCAGAATATTGGAGACTATTGCCTTCAATATGGATTATAGGTCAGCCTTAAGGAAATGGAAATCCTTGCCAGAGGGCCATGAGGTAACATTATAAATGGGAAATAAAGATTGAAATTGTCAACTATTTTGTCTTACTTGGATCCACGGTCAGCACCCTTGGTTCTAGCAGTCAAGAGATTAAAAAAAACCAAAACAATATATTGCATTGGGGGGAAAAAATCTATCAGGAACTGCTGATGTACAGTGACATCAGTTGAAAAACTAAGGAGCACCTGATCCAGACCATGGTCTTTTGATTACTTCATATGCATCTGAAAGTTGGACAGTTACCAAGGGTGACAGAAGATGAATCTGTTCCTATAGGTTTTGGTGTTGGAGAAAAGCACTGAATATTCATGGACTGCCAAAAGAAAAAAAAATATGTCTTAGAGAAAATACAACTATGGTGCTTCTTGGCTGCAAAGATGATGAAACTCTGTCTCACTCACTATGGTTATGTTGTTAGAAGGGGTTACTCCTTGAGAACAATACTTGGAAAGGTAGAGGGGTCAGCAAAAGAGAGGAAGTCCTTCAGCAAGACACATTAACACAGTGACAGTAACAGTGCGCTCAAGTTTATCGTTGAGAATAAGGATGACCCAGGATAGGGCAGGCTTCGGATCCCTTTCA